ATCCTGTTCTGAACTAGCAGGATTACAGGATTGGATAAGTCTGAGTTTTTTCAGGAAATAACTCAGTCCTTCCTAAACAGAATCCTGCGTTTTCTGAGGAGTAACCTAGCTCAATCCTAACCTGATCAATGAAGTACTGTGACCTGGTCTTAAGGTCAAACGGAATCAACCCTAGGTTTTTGGAAACCCTAACTGAAGTTGCAGCTGCTATATATTCAACAGAGCTGCGGTTTTTGAAGTCATCCCTGCTGATTGATTAGAAGATCAAGTTCGTAATCTGTATAGATTTGTGTATTGTACTCCAAGCAATTATCATTGTGATAAGTGTCTTGGAATAGGTTTCAATTGTAAGGGTTGTGTAGCACTCAAAGCTTTGAAGCAAGAGTGTTTGAATGTTACTTGACTAAAGCTGTGAAGCAGAGTCAAGTTAGTTGTGTACATCACTCAAAGCTGTGAAGCACGAGTGATTGTGTTACTTGATTAAAAAGCTGTGAAGCTTAATCAAGAGTGTGTTTTGAAGAGTGTCTTCATCAATTCTCAAGTCAAATTGGTTTATGTATCACTGCTGTGATTGAGGGGGAGTGAGTAGGAACTCAGGTTTAAGTTGTACTTAGATTAGAATTGCATTGGGTAGGTCTTAAGTGAAGGAGATAAACTGGTTGGTTTATTCCTGAATTAACATCTCTTATAGTGGATTCTCTCCCTGGCTTGGTAGCCCCCAGAGTAGGTGTTGTTGCACACTGAACTGGGTAAACAATTGACTGTGTTATTTACTGCTTTTGTATTTACTGTCATATAGTAAGTCAGATACGGTGTCATAACATTGGACGTGACATTGAGTATCTGTAGCCAGAATTTTCAGCTTGGACTTCTAAAAAATTCAAATCCTAAGTCTGGATTGTGGTATATCATAGGCTTAATTGCAGGCATGAGTCTCCCCTATTAGCCTAACATAAAAGCCTGTGTATTTGAATTTTTAATTAAGCAATTCAACTAATGTTTAAATAGACTAACCATTTAAAATATCAACGAGACTAAATACTTATTTTAATTGACTTATTCAGATTTACCTATTAACATAAGTTTTGTGATACTATTTGTTTGAGAGAACTTATGAAATCAACCTATGACATTGTTCATTAGGTTTTTTCAATTTATTTTCATAAGTTCTTCAAGATAACTAACCTTTATTTTTGTATTTTAAATCAAAGTACAATTATAATATAATAGTAATAAATTTATTTATATTTATTTAAATAGATCGGCTGGATAGGCTTAAAAGGTTTCTTTTTTCATAGCCTGTGGCCTAGCCTTTTTAACTAAATAGGTTTATAAAAAAACTTAGATCTTTTTTATTTAAAAAAAGTTTGACCTGAATTAGGCCTATGTAGACTAGGTCGTAGACCCCTATTAGTGGGTCTAACCTATTCACACCCATACTCACGACATCCACCACCACTTTTCACACACCCATGTAGCTACAGCATCACTGTTAATGTTTTCTTTCTTTCTTTATATTTTCTTAATTCTTATTTAAATTGTTTTATTTTAATTGAAAGTTTATTTTGAGAAATCTTTGGGCTTTAAGCCTATTTTTTTTTATTACCTTTGCACCACCATATTCTACATACACCTCCTTTTTAAATATGCATTTTGTTTGTTAGACTTTCTCCTCAATTAAATAGACATGTTTCTATTGATGAATAGTTGTATTTTAGATGTATCCTTGTAAATAAATTCAAGTTTTATTGCTTATGTTATTTTTATTGTGTTTGTGATTTCAGAGTTAATACCAATTTAGTACGTATAGATGCATATAAGATTGACCGGTTTACTTTATGGATTTTGATTCGACGCATTTCGGTCCCTTGGCTTTGATCGTTTGATTTGGTTATTCTTGAAATATTTGGACTATTTCTCTGTTATCTTGTTTTTGTCTGGTTGTTGGGAATTTTATCTTATGCATGGATTCTTATTCGATACATGGAGTTCTTATCCGATACTTTGAGTTTTTGCATGACACATGACGCTTATCTGACACCTTGAGTTTTCCCTGATACTGCTTGCTTGTGATTTATTTTCACCTAAGGTTTGGTTTACTCTTGACTTATTTATCTGTTTGTGGCTTTAAATCTAAAGGGATGAGAATATTGTATTGACTTCTTTATGACAAGTATTGGCTTCTTATTTGGTTAGACTGTTCTTTACCTTTATCTTTCACCTTCCTGTACATAAGATACTCTCTCCATCTCTTTCTCATTCTTCAATTTTCAAAATCTTCTCATCTGTTTCAAAACCTTCTTTGTTTTCTAAATTCAAACCGCTTTCATAATAAACTTTGACTTTGTCAAGCGACTTTCTTTTCAAACTTCCTTTTTTTATCAAAACTCAAAACACTTAATAAATAAATATGTGAATCGTATGTAGTTGAGTCTTTTGCGGTAGGATGAGGCGGTACAGACTGAACCTAGTTCTTTCTTTAATTTTTTTACTTTATTACGATTCAATTCGCAAATATTTTCACAAATAAGTGGAGAAGTAGTAAGTGTCCCTCCTGTGGGATCCATTTGCTATTATCCCAACAAAAATACTTCAACTCATTCAAACCTTTTTGTGCCTCGCGCACCTTTTCTCTTTAAAACCTTTTTCAAGATTAGACATGAGTCATTCATAGTCGATATTTTATTTTCCTATCTCCGCAGTTGTAAAGATGTTGACTTTTCCACTTGAGTACTAGAGGTGTTCTCAAACCCTCACTCATGCTGATGCATTGTCCCTCTTTCGTATACCTTGTGGGCGATTAGTTGAGATTTCTCTCCTAAAAATGGAGACTTATCTCTTCATTTAAAATCAATCAACAAACCAAGTTTTGTTCTTTTCTAGTCGAACTACGGTGCTCTGACTTCTCTATTACACGAGGGAGTACATAGGCACTACGCCTTACGACCAAAGGTGAGTGCAACAATAAAAAACATTTTCTTTTGTTTGTAAATATTCGTTCATTCATTCATTCCTTTTAGCGAGTAAGTCTTAAGATAACACACTCTCTGATTAGAACAAACAAAGTGGATCCTACGAAGTACCCTAGATGTTTAGGGTGCTAATATCTTTCCTTTGCATAACAGACGTCCTTGATCTCTGATCTTTTATTTTATTTTGAGGTTTATTCGCTCTTTTTCCATTTCCTTTTGGAAACAATAAAGTGCGGTGACGACTTTATTGAGTGAGTTAAATCAATTAGTGGTTTAGTCTCAAATCTTTACTGCTACATTTTCGCATATTACACGTGCGACACCTGCGAACAGCCATTTTTGGATAGCTTCTTCTTTTTGTCCTTAATCATTCAAAAACCTTATTTTGTCACACAAACACCAACATTTAACTATTATAACATCAACCTACACAATATCATTGATTCTAACTAACCTAATAAACTATTATAGCATTGCAAAATGAATCAAATGAAAATGGAGAAAACATACACAAATTTAAAGCTTTGGAGATAAGGAATGAGTAGAAATGAGGAGATGGGTTGGAATGAGTAGAAATTAGTAGATTATCCAAGTTTGAGTAGTAGAAATTATAGATTTTGAGTAGAAATGAGGTTTATAGGTTTGTAAAGAAATTGGTTCTATGTTATGATCGCGCTACTGATAACAATTAAATGACTTCGGATATGCACATCTGAAGTATTAAATAATGAGGTTTATTCGGATATGCACATCTGAAGTATTAAATAATGAGGTTTATTCGGATATGCACATGCAAAATCACATATCCTTGACAAAATAAAATGACTTCGAATACGCACATGCGAACCCACCTATTATTGAAAAATATGGTGTGTTGGATATGCACATCCGAAGTCTTGGTGTATTTTAGATTTTTCGCCAGGGGCCTGCAAGAAGACAACAGTGTGTAAAAATAAATTCTCTTACTTAATAAGAGGCCCCCAAAATTGTGAGGCCCTGTGTTGTGGGTCTTGTTGCACAGACACAAGGTCGGGCCTGCATAAAACAATAATGTATTTTCTAGATTTTAGACTGGTGCGCTACTACGAAAAATACATTTCGTAAAATAATATTACGACGACTTTTTTGTTAATCGTGGTAATATCTCGTTTTTAATCTCTCTTCAATTTTAACTCATTTTTCACCACGGTTGAAAGTTTCAACCGTAATAAAAAATGGTGCATGGTCATAAGTTCGAATCTCGTTGTTATTGTTGTTTTAGTGTTGTATATTTTATATTTTGCTATAACATGTTAATTTTTGTTGTCCTTATTGTTCTTTTTTTGCTATTGTTGATTTGTTGTTGTTTTTGTTATTGTTGTTGTTTTTGGTGTTTCTGTTGTTGTTTTTGTTGTTGTTGCTATTCTACTATTTTTTTATTAAAACTCATAAAACAACGATTATTTAATATAATTATGGTTGTATATAGCGCGTAATCTAATTTATAAAAATAATCACATACCTGTTATAATAATTAGTATACATGTAATCACACGCTACCTAACAACGAGTATGTTATTATCATTATATTATATGTGTTTTTCAGTTTGAGTTACAATGCAGTGACATGGAGGGAATTTTGCGGTATGTGCAATGTTAGCGATGCAGTGTGACTTTTGCATCTGATGAAACAGGGAGTGATGTTTGGTTCGATAGGGGCAAGCCAGATGTGAAGTTTCTACCAAGCCACGTGTCCTATGTTTCCATGCAAAGCAGCAAACTCTCCCCACAGTCCCACGTAGCTTACAATCCTCCTTCCATTCCAAACGTTCGAGGTTATAGGTTCCCTCCACGTGCTAACCATCACATTCATCACAGAATATCACAATCAATCCTTCACAAACACCTATCCTCCACGTTAAAAGACCCATACCATACCACATTAAAGAAAACAAAAAATGAAACAACTTAAGACCTTAAACTATCGAACAACATTCGCATTTCTCACTCACTCTGACTCCAAAGTGATGTGAGTGAGAAGAGTAGACAATGGCTGATGTTCCCGTTTCGAGTGATAACAATGTTGGAACAGTATCCTTACCAGATAAGGAACAAGAAAACTCTATCATAGTATCCACTCTCATTCACGTTCTCTCCTCGTCAAACAATGTTGCTGTTCCAAACCAAGAAAGAAAACGGGAATCAGAAACAGCCACGTCATCATGTGCAAGTGTATCCCTCCAGAACCAGTATAATCCGTACACGTGTCATGCATGTAAAATCAACGGCTGTCTCGGTTGCAAGCTCTTCAGTGAGAAAGAGAAAGAGGAGAAGATAAAAAAATACAGGGGAGTGAGGCAGAGAGCATGGGGAAAATGGGTGGCTGAGATACGAGACCCAAAAAGGGCCACTCGTGTTTGGCTTGGTACTTTTGCTACGGCGGAGAATGCTGCAAGAGCTTATGATCAAGCGGCTATTAAGTTTCATGGTGCTAGAGCTAAACTCAATTTTGAATCCTCTAATTATACTGTTACTGATGAAAAGATGCAAAGTGCGACAGTACAGGAACATAGTGAGGTTGCAGGGATGAATCAAACAAAAACTACTATCTTATCATTTGGGTCAACAAGCGAAGTAGACTAGAGCATGTAAGATGATTTGAAAAATAAACAGCAACTCAGTTGCTATGAAGTTCATTTTGAAAAGATAATAAGCCACACGTGTTACTTTGTATGCGTGAATTTTGCTGTGAATTTTGCTGCTAAAAAAAAGTTAAGTGTGACAGTTCACTCTTCATTCATCATGTTTGTTTTGATGTATAATGGAAGGAACCAAACTGCTATTTCCCTTCAATGAGATTATATTTTTATTTTATGTGGTTCATCTTCTGCATGGTTTACTATTAGACAGACCTGTCTTCAAGATGTACTGTTTCAGGACTAGTTATATCTCCTTTGTGAGGTAAAAATAACTAATTAACCAAAAACCATGTCAAAACAAAAGAGAGAAGGTTCGTGGCAGAGAGATTGTGCAACGGTCCAAGAGATAAGTTTCAAAAGATTTTTGGCTAGGGAAATTCATTACAAAATCACCATGATCTGTGTTCAAAACTAGAAAAGAAAACTAGCAATTGCCAAAACTGATACTTCCTTATAATGTTAAACATATATAAAGACAGCGCTAATTAATGATTCCCATACCCAAAACCCATTAAATAACTGTTTTTTTCTGTCAAAAACAAAACCAAAGGAAGATTGTCCAAGCTTGATGATTGCTATTGCAAAATGACATAGTGACAACAATGACAGTGCTATCAAACCCTTCCACGGCCTTCATCAAGAAGACCGGTATATAATTAGTTGTAGCCAGCAAAAATCTCAATCTAACACTCAACCTGCCCTAACCAAAGTAGAAGCTAATCAAAATTTTATTTCAACGGGACCAATAATTAACAACAGAGCTTTCCATATCTTTTTCCCTTAAAATCCAGCAGTTATTGCCTGTGCACGACTTATGACACTGTTGATGACCCACTAATAGTCTGCTTTGCCACATAAATTTGTTTGACCTTTGCCGAGGAAAAGTTCTTATCCCCGCCCAAAGATTGGTTTCTTCCATGGTATCTACGATGGGACCATTCACCGCCAGAACTATTTCTCTGAGAAACACCACCACCTCCTCCTCTCTGATAATTACCATGTCCCGAAGAATGATCATAATGCTGCTGCTGGGCTGAAACATTGATTTGTTGCGAGGGCTGAGTCCGGTAACTAGAACTTGCATTCTGGTTATTACTTTTGCTGCTATTTCCATTCTGACCGTCTACTTTGGCAGCAGCATTTGTACTAGTTTTCTCAGATGGAGTCTTATTAATAATACCCTTAGATGAAGTCTTAGAAGTAGTGGAATTTGAAGTTTCCACTAATCCAAGTTCTTCAGGTAATTGGTTGACATTTACATCAGCTGCTCTAGAAAAATTCCTATCACTGTCAGAAGATGTTGAAGTCCGAGAACCAGTAAATCTTTTGACATTTAGTGGCTGGTCAACTGAAGGGCCATGGCTCATCTGAGAAGTCTGAACACTCTCTTGTTGATGCAATGGCATTGATGGTGGAATAGATGAGAGTGGTGCATTAGGAACATGTGGCCATCGAGCTTGCACTGACATCTCAGTAGAGTGCTGGCACAAAGTTCACACATTTGTTAGCTACTAGTACACAAATAAAATACATCTTGAACAGATAAATAAAAATAAAGCAGAAGAAATCAATGACTTTTACTATCTTTTGGAATAGAAGAAATTAGAAATGACTCATTGACAAATTCCAAGCAAGAACAACTACACTACCCCTAGCACTGCAATATGTACAACAATCATCCCCAAGAGGCCAAGAGAGGTAAATCTTTACCTGAAAAGGAGAAACATCATACATAGCCACTGGAGATGCCATTGGCAGAAGAGGTGAACCAGGAGCAAGATGTTGAATTTGAGAAGGCATGCTAGCAGGATTCCTCTGAGAAGATGTCATATTCATATTGTTCATATCCCCTTCACTAGTCCCTGCTGCAGAAGTTGTAGGGATGTGTTTCCAATCAGGCTGCTTTCCAGATGGGATATAAGTCGTACCCATGAAACTCAAGCCAACTTGACCAAATTGTCCAACAGGTGCAAAATGGTTATAAACAACCATGTGTGGAGGCCCTTGGACTCCTGGAATGCCTCCAGGCGGAGCAATAAAAGGTCCAGTAAATCCTGTTGGAGGACCATAAAAGGATTCCACGCCAGAATGACCCTGTTGCCAGCCCCCAATTGGCCTTGATGTTGGTGCGGTAGTTTTTTGAGGTTGCGACTGTGTTGTAGATGCAGACTCATCATGTGGTCCAAAAGCAAACACGGGACCACCCATCATAGGATTCATTTCATAGAAAGGAAAATGAGAATGTGGACCAGAAGGAAAATGAGGAGGGACAGCAGGAAAATGTGAGATCATCTGGCCTGAAGAATTTTGTGCATTTGGTAAAGCAGGCCACAGGGAAATTGGTGGTGTCTCAACAGATAAATCAGCAGGAAGAGATACACTAAGAGGCTCCTCAGATCTAGATTGGCTAGCAGATTGCTGCTCACGACCTACTCCTGCTAAAGTAATTAATATTATTAGATATATGCTAGAAGAAACAGAAAAAAACTAAACTGAAGTCTTATAATGAGGGAAAAAAGAATCACCTGCTACTACCCTATCAATATCTTCAGCTACAAAACTTTTAGCATCTGAGACTGAGACAGAACAAGTACCCAACCTATTTCCAACAGTCTCATCACTACCAATGGCAGCAACAGCAACAGCAGATGCAGCTGCCTCGGCTTCAGCTTCCGCATCACAATCTTCTAAATGGCCGTGAGATTCATTATCATGCTTCCCTTTCTCAAAGAAAAGACTGCAATTATTGTCCGATCCAGCAAGGTTGTGGGATATTTGCATGTCTGATCTAGATGATCGAGGGGGGCCAATACCATGGGACACACCACGGCTGCTAGGAGGAAGAACAGTTGGAGATGTCACTGCACCTGAAAACAAAAAGAAATACTATCCATAAGTAGGGAAATTTAACATCCAGAAATATTACTTCAAACAGCAAGAAAGTGCCCTTTCAATGTTATTATGATAAAATAAATGACTAAACAAATTCCAATACAAAACTAATTTTCTCACCAAATTGAATTTTCTCTCCAGCAAGCAAGGAATTTATTGGACTGGCAGCAGATGAGAATGCTTTCTCTTTTATCAAAATGGATGGTGCTGGCATGCTGGATTCAGTAACAGAAGCTGCCATATTGGCACTAGATGCCTGTGAATCAAACTGCTGAGGCTTCATAGCCTCGTCGAGTTGTGTCTGTGTCAGCGCCATGACCTATCATTCAATTTTTATATACTCAACTCAAATAGAACACAACAAAATATGACTTAATAATTCAAGCTTCTCATCCTTAGATTATACCATTTTGACCCCCAAACACCCTGCAAAATATGACTTTCTTCTCCTTCATTACCTTTGTTACATCATTCTCAAAAAAAAATTTATAGTGCAACTATGAGATCAAAGGAACAGCATTTTATTCATTCATATAAGTAGAACGAGGCATTGATTTAATCCCTTGTTAGAAAATGCAATTACTTGCATAAATGGGTTTAACCATTGTGACTTTTTTTACCAGTTTTGCAATGTTTCAATCTCAAAATCATTGGGATTTCATCCTTCAATGAATTTTATAAAAAAAATACTGGAATAATTATAAGAAAACATCCATAGATAATTAACCAAAAAGTGACACCCTTTATTTAAAGAGTAATGCTTAGTGGCACGACAAGCCTGATGCACGAATTGAAACGAATTTATAATTACCATAGGATGAAACATATAATGACCATTGTTCTATTAATAACCATACGATGAAATATTAAAGCACAGCGTTCTATTTTTTCACTTCCCTATATTTTATTATATTCATTGATTGACATGTCGTCATAATTCGTTGAGGTACGAGTCATGCTATATAGCACCACTCTTATTTAAATAAAGTTGATAGGCCAGGCGAGATTTTACACTTGCTTTGTGCAGTAACAGGGACGTATAGCATGTGTTGAAAAAACACAGAAGTACGAGAGAGAAAAAGAGAGTTGTTTTATTAACAAGCTTCATTCCATTGTATTTGGGGGAAATTAAAAATAGGAGATGATGGAAAGTATTCCATCATATTCCATATCACCCCATATACTTTTTAAAAAACCAAACAATGAAATGTAACTCAACACCACTCCATTCTATCAATCCAAAAATAGCCTAAGTTGATCGTGAAAAGACATCTGACTCCCTACAGATATAATTACTCAGTTAAGTAGAATGTGTTGGTTTTGAGGAAATTTCTAGGAGATCGCTTAGGGTTTGTTTGGTACACGACAGGATAAGGTTTGATAGCACAAGACCTCATTATAAGGCCTAATTGTTAAGACAGATAAAAAAATTTAATAGTTGAAATTGATGGCGGACCATGGCGGAAAGCCAAATCTAGCCAAGTTATTATGTATGAGGGATTTAATGTAAGCATTGAAGTAAAAAAGTAAAAGCACAAGAAATAATTAGAAACTATGGCATTTCCATTGCTATTTTGATCTTAAAAAGGGAAGTGAGTTCAAACCTGCTGGCTAATTTGCACATTGCCCCAAGAGCCCAAAGATGTCTGAACATTTTCATGGACCTTGTTCTTGCTTTCACGACCAGAAACTGATGGGAGGCTTGTATGAAGTGATCTGTAAAATGAAAAATAAGATTGACGTTTCTTGTACAGTTACAGCCATAGGAACATTTAAAAGCCTGCAACTACCTGTTCGTTTGAGATCTTAGATCAGGCTGGGCATCAAGTTTCGTAGTAGGCGTGCCTATAGGAGGAAGTGCCTGGGACAGTAAGTTTGGATTATATCCAGATGAGGAATCACTCTTTGTCATTCGGTGCCCATCGGCAGCAGCAGACACTTCACCAGTAGAAATGGATCCTTTGCTTGAATTGGCCATGGTCACGGTACTTTGTGAGGCGGAACGGGTTTTCCGTGGCAGCTAGTGTGAAACAAAGACACAGCTATAAAAGATGAACTATAAAATAAGATTATGCAGATAGATAGGAACTGAGAAGGTTATATACCTTTGCAACACGAGATTTAGCCTTGATTTCTTTCTCTCTTTGCTCTCGCCGATCATTTATCATTTGCCTCTTCGACCTGACCTCTATGAAGTCGTCTTCATCACTGGGAGCTTCAATTCCAGGTTGCTCAAACACACGTATAATTCCACTTTGCAATGGAGCATCGACATCTTCCTCAGAACACAAGTTTCTTTTGAGATTACTATGCCCAGAATGTGAAATGCTCTGAGCCTTTGTTGATTCTTTTCCTTCAACCCTCTCAGCTCTGCTTCCAGAATCCATGCCATGTGAACTTTCTCCCATTGATTCTACAGGTTGTTTTCCCATTTTACTGGTGAAAGACTTCCTAGATCCAGTTCTTCCAGACATGCCTATTCCCCTTCCAGTGACATTTGACTGGTGGTCCAACCCAAACTGATCAGTTGGAAAAGAATTTGAAGGCTGCCTTTTATCCGCATTTTCCCGAACTCGGAACTCGGTGCGCTGTGTGTTCCTATTAGGCCTCCTCATAAATCCTCTGGAGTCTGTTCGATTAACCCTGGAAGCTGGACCTGGACCTGGACCTGGAGCTGATGATTTTGAGCTTGAAGTTTTTACTGTATAGACATATCTCTGTCCTCTACCACCAGATACAGGAAACCGCGCTTTTGACTCCATTAAATCCTTCTCTTCTGAAACTGAATGAAGAAGTGCATCTTTGATATGAGGCTGAACTTCTGAGTGTTTAGCATTGGATGAAGTGCTGCTGCTCTTTCCAACTACATTTTGGCTCCCACGCTTGTCCAATTGGAAACTAGAAGCAGTCCTTGTGCCATTATTAACATCATGGGGAGGAGCATTAATTTGTCCCTGCTTTACTCCAGCCAAATTTTCTGCATTTTCACTTGCCAGTGAACCATGAGATAAACTTCTTGAATTACCTGGTTGGCCAAGAACAGACTGATGCCTGATATCATTCTTAATAAACGACTCAGAAGACACTGGACCACTTTGAACTGGCATTTGGCTTGCAGAGTTATGATTAAAAGGGAAACCAGATGGGATATTAGGCTGAACAAACGACATTGATTGAGCACCTAGAGGCATCATCCCCTGTGATACAGGAGATGAATACCTAAGCTGGCCAAATTGAAATAAAGGAGGTTGTGATGGGTGCATATGATGAGTGAGGGGCGCACCGACCTGTGGATGCAGATGCAGTGGCATCTGTATAGAACCTATTTGTATGGCTGGTACTGGAGAAGGTATCAATGATGGACCAGAAAAAAGACCGAATTGAAGCTTAATGGGTAACTCGGCTTGACCTGGAGCAGCAGACGTAACAATTTGACCCGAAGATGTGTAGTGTGGGCCAATAATAACTGAAGATGGTGTACTATGATTGGCAGAGAAGCCAATGGAAGCTTCCACATTACCCAAACTATCAGATGCAACATTTGGAGGTTGCTTTTCTGATTCCTGGAATAAAGTAGAAGAACTATTGAGATTTACCTTAGAGGTATCGTCAACAGGTTGAAGGACTTTGCCATCATTGCATGAATTGTCAAAAGGTGCTTCGAGAGCGATGTCAGAAGCCTGCTGTACCCTTTCAAACTCCTCATTGGGCATCCCAACCTGAACACCCTCATCAAACCCTAATACAAGGTTATCCATCAAATGCGGCAATTCTTTTTCTTGCAAATGCATATTTTCAAAATCCTGGTGGAGGCCAGCATTATCATCTCCTTCATGCACTTCCTCTTCTTCCCGGTAATCTCCATCTTCATCATATTCTTCTTGTTCTTGGAGCTGCTCATTATTCTCAGATGCCCATTCATCATCATCACCACTAGAGACAGCACATGAAGTAACTACATTCTCTTTACCATCTGCAGCAGGTGTTGCAATGGATTCATTACCTGGAACTGATACAGGGCCGTTTTTGTTTTCTTCAGAAGTCACTATTGCAGAAGAGTCCCCGGAGTCATCGAGATCATCGTGAGAAAGATGTGTTGGTGAACTAGGGGGGCTTGAAACAGAGAGTGAAGACTGAGAATCACACCTTGGTGTGGCCTCCACTTTATGGTCCTCATTCTCAGCAACCTCTTGGAGGGGTTTGACTATTTCAGGTTGCCCATGATTCCCATTGTCATAACCAGTTGGCATTGTAGAGTCACTCCTTGTTGCCTGATTATACGGCATCTCATTTTCTAGGAATGCAGAAGAAGCGGTGTGCTCATTTCCACTCCTGTAAGTTCTGTGAACTGAAGCAAGCGGAGGGGGGAGAACACGCGGCTGCCTAACAGAATACCGGGACCTCCCCAAGGCATAAGGCCCATCTGATTCAGAGTTCTGGTAAGGACGGTCAGGGAATGGAGGAAATGCATTGCTACGGGGACGATTCTGTGCCCAACCATCAAATCTTTCAACAAAATTTTCATTAAAATCAGAATGCACGTCTGTATTTCTGCCAACATGATCTACTTCTGCAGGTTGATTCCACCTTGGGGCTTTAACATGAGCATATTCATCTAAATGAGCCTCTGAAATCCCTCCTTTATAGTATGTCCTTGAAGACATTAATCCAGCACCACCATTATAGTCTTTCCTCATGAATGGCTTTCCACCGATAGATGAGTCTCTACGAGGACTGTTGTGACTATTCTCTTGATCCTGTGAATAGAATGCCGGACTACTCCAGCTCTCATATCCATCTCTTCTCCATGAATTAACTGGTTTACCTCTATCAACGAAGGTGGAAGACAAATCTCTCGGAAAATGAGACCTAGAACCCATCTCCAGTGGCCTATTAACACTTGATGAATCAGAAGATGCCGAAGTTAATATCCTGTCCACCATTCTTTCACTATCCTCCCAATCACCTACATCTGTAGCCCTGGATGCATCTCTTTCATTCACATTTCCAGGCATTTTATCGTCCACAATAACTGGAGCATTATTGTAACCTTTGGCTGCTTCAGCCTGCCGCCTAGCAATCTTTTGCTCCAGTTCTAAAAGCTTTTGCTTAGCAGCTTGTTTCCTCCTCTCCTCTTCTAAAAGCAATCTTTGTTTCTCTTCTTCCCTTGCTAGCCTCTGCTCTTCAGCCTTCTGCAAAGCTTCAATCCTATCTTGTTCTTCTCTCCATGCTGCCTCTCTTGCTTCTTCCTCCAACCTTCTTTGCCTCTCTTCATGTTCTCTAGCTAGTCTTAATCTTTCCTCCTCTTCTCTGCGAGCAAACTCCACTGCCCTTTCTTGCTCTTCAATGATTCTCTGCCGCTCTTGTTCTTGCAGTCTCTGAACCCTTTCAAGCTCAGCCTCAAAAGATTCTCTAGCAGGATCATGGAAATCAGTTTGCTTGAGTACATCCTTCTTCTTCTTCACCACTCCGACAAGACCTGTTGAAAATATATCCTTCCCATCAAAAGCAGACGCTGCAAAATCTTCCCCGTAAGTCTTTTCACTCTTTGGTAAATTGCGTTTTTCTCTGCCAAAATTAAGCAAAGGATCATTAACAGAAAGCCCTTTACCACCTAAAGAAAATGAAGACTTCGACACCGAGCTCTGTGAAGAATCAACTCTATTCCTATTATATTGATCACCAGCAACATGCCGATGATCACGCATCCCATTTCGTTCACCATATGATTGTGCCATATTATTCCAAGGTTGTTTCACACCTTGCCCATACCCTGCATCCCTCCTTCCAGAATCGTCATGAATAACCTCTCTATAAGGGGACGAATTATACTTATTATCCTTCCCTGCATCTTTATTTCCACTGGAAGGCCTTGCACCACCAACACCATTCTTATCATTCCCAGCTGCATCTTTCACACCAAATCCATCTTTAGAAAGAGACGAACTCCTCCACGATGAGGAACTAGACGAATTCCCTTCCCTTCCAGGCATTCTATCATAAGGGTCCATCTTAGGAACTTCACTAGAAGAAACCTTACCAGCTTCATTGCCCCGCAGCGGTCCCCTCTTATCAAAACCAGTACCATACTTCTGTGGCACAATGCCAACCCGAGGCATATCAAAATCCCAAAAAGCATCATTTTTTGAAAAACCATGATCCCTGCCCTCTCTACTCCGCTCAGTGAAACCATGACCAGTATCACGCTCATCATCAGCCCAATCAAACCTAGGGTTCAACCTTACCAGAGGCAAAGGACCCGGAAAAAACTCATCCTGATTCATCCCACCACCTCTGCTTTGATTCGGCCCTCGAGAGCCAATAAAACCTCTATTCTCACGGCCATTCTCAACAGGAAAACTCCCAGTGCCAGGAACATTGTATCGGGCGTTCACATTAACATGCGAAAAAGCATTAGCACTACCATTAGCATCTGCCTCGACATCCTTACTCTTCTGCTCAAGAGATAGATTCTCATTAGTGAAATTCTTAGGCTTTTGATTAAAATTCTCTTGGATCTTCTGATTCTGACTAGGCCCAGGTGCAGGAGGCACCAACGTGGCACGCAAAGAAGGAAAATCCTCTCCTCTCAACACCGCTGAGGAAACAGATGGAGGAGCAACTAGTCCAACTGCCTTAGCAGACCGAGGCAAATCCTCCTGAAAAATCGTCTCTTTCTCTTGCAAAACCACAGCAGCAGGCTTCGTCCAACCCATACCAGAAGAAGAAGGTCTCGAACCATTTCCGGAACCACCTCCTCCGGCTTGACCTCCTCCCGATCCAAGAGAATCAAACCGTTCATGCTCCTTCCGCAACGAAGGGAGGTTCAAGGGGGGCGGAATGGAAAGCTTAGCCCCCACCTTCTGCGAGCTTCGAGGCCTTGACAAAAGCGCCATACCCCCACCCGAACCAGCAGGTCGTGCCGCCGTTCGGGTGGATCCAATAGCGGCGGAGTTTTGTCCATACGACTTGTTGAGATTCACAGACACATACTTGGTGCCGGAATTTGCCATCGCAGTCGCACCGCAAGTGTGAATCGCCAAAGCATGAAAACCCTAACCCTGATTATTACTCCTCCTCGTGATCTGATTCGTGGATTATATGATCGAATCAAACAGGCTTAACCCTACCTCCAACAATGATGACCGAAATCAATGCTTCGATTTTGATCGATCGAGGATCGATCGATCTTTCTTTGTCCAATTAGGGTTAGTGTGATGTGAATTAGGGTTTGAATTGAAAAGGGGGAAGTAGGTTAAGAGAGTAACCTCCGGGGGCGTAAAATAGCGGTGGTTACGAGCGCGGCGAATGGGAGAAGCCCTACTATCTAATTTGTAGAAGCGGGGTAAGAGGGAGAAAAAGAGAGAAAATAGGAAAATGAAGTTTACAATGAACGAGCTCAACGAGTAGACCAAACTAACTTTTCTGTCTTCATGTTTTGAACCTCTATTTTCTAGATATTTATGCTTTTGCCACACTGTCCTTTCCACGTGCTATATAATCAACTTCACTTATTATATAATAAATTATAATATAAATATTTGGATTAGATGCTAAATGATGCATTTCTATCTTGAATTCATTCCTAAGCATAAGCATCCAATATTATTACAAATATATAAATATTTTATTTTTATTATCTATAATATAATAATACAAATGTCTCTCAAAATTACATATTTGTCCTTTGCTGAAAATTCAACACTTTTTTTTGGGGGTTAAATCTTGTCTTAAAAATGTTTTTTTCTAACTATTTTGATAAATGGTCCAAATATAACTATTACTTTTGTTTAAATTTTGGATTTGGCTTTCAATCTTGCCTTGTTTTTCCTGAAAACATTTCAATTGAAATCAAATGTCAACTTTTGGGTTTCCAAGAGTAACTATTTGCTTATGCACACCTAAAAAGTAAATGTCACTTTTATGTTGTATCTTTCATCTACTTCTATATACTATTACTGCTTCTCCCAAGATCATTATCACACTCTCTTTTTCTCCCTCAAACTCCATATTATTTTCACATTTTCATTTGGACTGTAAGTATCCACAACCTTTCTCGTCCATATTTCTCCTTCAACTTTTCTCAGCCATAAGAACTATGAATCAGATAATCTTTCTTCCATTCTTCTCTCTTCCACTTCCTCTTTCTTCGTCTTCTTCTTATTCTTCTTCTTCTTTCTTTATAAAAAAATTGTTATTTTTATCCTTCTATGTTTAGATTTACGAAACACTAATGATTAAGTTATTGTTGATAATTTTGTTGTTGCTGCAGGTTTCAAGATATTAGATATGGTTTATCTAAACTGTTAATGACATTATTTTGGGTTTTGTTTTATTTGTGTTTCTTGGTTTCTGATTATCTGAAAAGTAAGATCTATAATTTGATTATGTGAATCTAAGTTTTTGCTCTCATTTTGCAGCAAGTATGTATGAGATTTAAAGCTGGAAAATACTTGAAAGGTCTGTTAAAGATTGTTATTGTAACACCCTTCTAAACCCAACGAAATATTCATAATTATTTAAAATAATATCAGAGTAATACAACAAAAGGGCATCACATTTTATTCGTGAAATAATCATAAGCATTAGTCTTACTTCGTAACACGGGTTTTCAAAATTATTCATGACATATGCATTATCAATGTTTCACATACTTACAGCGGAATCATGGTTCAAACAAGTTTCATTAAAAACACTTCATAGTGCTCCATGATTCATGGCTCACAATTCAACATAATTTAAACTCCATGGAAATAATTTAAATGTCATAACAAAACAAGAACAAAATAGTTTTCAAAATAAAGTGTTCTCGTCCCCGATGTTACATATCAGAGCAATACCTTCTAGACTCAACAGAAATAAATCACACTCCAAAGCTATTCTTCCAAGTCTTTAGGGACTACTCTTGATTACCTGCACATTACCCATGTAGGGGCAACATTCAAGCAGAAAGGGTGAGTTTATCACAATTATTATATAAGATATAAGTAATAGACATAGCAGAATAAGCCTAAAGTATCACCATAATCGATTCAAGAAATTCGTATTCCAAGCTCAATTAACACAATACAACATCATCAATTAAGAACCATGTAATGCCACATAAGATGTAGTGCAAGGACATAGACTCATGCATGTGGTACCAATTCTTCTTGATGGACACTGGGTCATCACCCTCCAAAGACCTCAATCATAGGATTGATTCCCACTTAGAACGTAGAAAATCACAGACACCCCAAATCCATACAATGGGATTGAGACCAAATCACTAGACCAACATCCTAAATCATCACAACAGACCAAAGTTGTCCAATGGATGTATGATGCACAACAACATATAAAATATGACCACAACGCATCATCACTCATGTATTAATCAATATCATACATAAACATCATCATGTATACTCATATAATCATCATTCATATTCATATAATCAAAACATCATCATAGTATCAACATATCATCGTGATCAAACATATAGTCATTGTGATTCGACGCATGAAACATATTCTTATTCTATATTAGGTATTATAAAAATATTCTTAAGTCTCCATTTTATTTCACCTAATTATGGTATACTACGTTAGCTACGTTCAGCTTCGAACATCACTCTATTCAGAGCTCTAGAACTAAAGTTATGCTAGTTTCAACATTTCAATCCAATATTCCAGCTATGCCTCCCATCGCTCGGCGAAACCTCATCATCGCCCGAGACCCTTACCCGAGACCAACGCCCTATTTACCTCCTTTTATCGCCTCTTCAATCGCCCAACGAGGCATCATCGCCCAGCGACATAAGAACTGTCACTCGGTGATTCCCTACGAACATGGTTTTCCTGTTTGCGATTATACATTGTTTCAGGTTACTTTTTTTTGCGATTTAGTCATGTAACAAGTCCAAAAATGCTATCTAATCATGGAGAATCATCACCTAGCAAAAACTTGTTATACTACATCTATCATACAATAATTACGGGTCATCAATCATCATAATTCCATCAATTCTTAACCCAACGACATCATATCACCATTGTTCATACCAAGGGCAAAATCCTACAACTATCTACCACTTAGATCAATCATAATAACCAGATAAAAACCCATTACCTTATTGTTTCGAGTGATTAATTTTATCCTCCGTGCCTCTTACGGTAATTCTCCAACCCTTTATGCCCTAACTTCCCTTTTCTCCACAGCGTCAGTTCTCTTTCTCCACTTTTCACGATCGCTTGTGAGAATATGATTACCTTTTCCTCTATTATCACAAGGACCCCTAACTTCTTCATCAATTGCTCTCACTTAGTCAACCTCTATTTACCATCACGTCCTCACTCTTCCTACTAATTACCAACATACCATTTTAACTAAAATAACTCTATTTAAATAATTATTCCTATTATTCTATTCTAGATAATAATCCAAATAATTACTAAATAATCATCTAATTATTCAAATGCATCTAATCCCTTCATTCACATCACATGTTCAACATCATAAGCAACCACATGCCAGCACATCATACATATAATCATATAAAACATCAATTATCTGTAAATACTCCTAATAATTCATTAAATAAATAACTTCTAAAAGTTGGGGTGTTACAACTCTCCCCCCACTTACAGAATTTACTTAAGGAAAACAGAGTCGGATACGACTCTCTCATCTGATCCTCACGCTCCCAAGTCAAACTTTCATCGGCTGGTCCACCCCATAACACCTTCACTAAGGCAATATCCTTACCTCGCAATTGCTTCACTTCACGACCTTATATTCTCAATGGTAATGCTTCAGCAGTCAGGTTATCTCTCACATGTACATCATCCATCTGAATTACACGTGAATGATTCAGAATGTACCTTCTCAATTGAGATACTGTTGGCTCCTAAATTCGACACCCTTGTTGTTATTAATATCAGCCATTAAAGCTGAAGGATGGTTTCGACCATCTGGGTCTGTCGAAATGCCCATCAGAAGAGGGCAATGTACTTAGAGAATTTCTTCCAAGGGAGAATTTGGTTGCCTTCGACGTCGAAGGTGTGGCTCATCGAAGATGCCTCTCGATGAAGGTGTTCGATTGCTCAGAGTGGGACGGTTTGAAATTCAAACGTTTGGAGGGAAAACGGTTCCCAGCGGTTACCAAGTGCAACGTGCAAAGATCTGGAGCGTCGAACGCTGAGAACGTGCCAAGTGGAGTCATCTCGAAGCAGTGTAACTGCCCGACGGTTACTTGGGATGTTTTAGTATAAATATTAGTAGTTCACGCAGTTTTTCGCGTGTGTTCACAATTATATACAAGTCACTCATATAGATTCGAGTACCCAGCGTGTGAGAAAGAATTGTTGAGAATGTATGTGTGAAACGCCACTTTTATTAATCAAAGTCATTTATTTTCCAGAAACTTTACTTGCTTTCTCCTTTACTTTTCCAGTCGAAAGCCTTTATTTCAAGCCTTCCTTTATTTTATCATGTTCTCTTCTTCATGCAATTTACATAAAGCTTCTTTATTTCCTTGTCATTTAACCATTATCAAACTTAGTCAAAACCCCAAAATCAACCATGTCTTAGGATCAATCTGATCGATCCTGTGAGTAACCAAATAAGTAACCATTTGGAAGATCAGCGATTGTTTACCAATTCCCACGGTAAACAAATTGGCACACCCGGTGGGACTGTGTGTTGATTTTGAAGTTTAATCTTTTTACACAAAATGTCATCTTTTTCGAGAAGTATTGTATGTTATTGAGAAGTGGTAGAATATACACTAACAATACCAATACTGCCAGAAGAAGAGAAGAGATGGCGAATCCGCCAAACAATAACGAAATCCCACAAACGAATGTGGGAACAACGGTTATCCCAACCATGAGTGAAGCGATAACCGCTGGTTCAACACCAGCAGTAACGGTCACAACGACGGGGCCATTACCTCCGTTCACTGGCCCCAGAGTGCCTTTGGGAACTCCCCCACCAAGGGGAAATCTAGGCACGAGGCCTTATGTTCCCCCAGGATTTATGACAGGCGGTCAAAATCGAGAACCACTCTATGGCATGCCAACGTCTGACTTGGCTAGCCTAACGAACGTTGCGTCCACTTTTCAGACCCTTTAGTGAGTGCCTCTTCGCCACTCCAAGGTTCTGGAGTAGGTATGGCGAACAGAAATAGGACCCAACTCTTAGGAGGAACGTCCCAAGTAGCACATGGCCTTACAAATGCCTCGACAGCAGTCTTGAGGCAACAAATGGACGAAAGCAACCATGATATGGTGCAAATGTTGGCACAAACTTTAAGTACAGTGCTGAATCCTCTAATACAAAACACCACCCAATCGAATCACCAGATGACAGCGTAAATGACGCGTTTGGCTGATTTCTTTGGAGTACCCCAACCTATTCGACAGCCCCAAAGGGCGCCAATAAGGGGAAACCAAGGTATACTCTTAGAGGAAGAAACCACTATCAACCAAGGCCAGCAGC